AAACCTAACGTGTGACACGACAGCGACGGTCCGCTGACCTGACACCCCTGGCCATCTCCTTCGTTTGTCTTGGTTGGCTGTCCTCCACGTAATTTTCTTTTAATTCCTGTTTGTGTTTGTGAGTATTGTCATGGAAGTTTCAAACCACGCTTACGGACAGTATCTAAAACGTTAAACCAGAACGAAGCAATCGACTGATACCCACAAGTGAACACATAAGCGTACATCTGAAAACATTGGTTCAGGAAGGCGGCCGTCTTCTAGGATAAAATTTTAACACGACAGTTCGACTGGACGACGACTGAGAAACAGCTTTCCTCTCTATCCTAGCCTTGATTGTTACGTTTTGTCAATTACTCTTGCGGAGCCGTTGTACCATCACAATATACCACCTATTAACCCGTCTAAGCCAGTTTGGACCGAGCCGACCCGAACCCATGGACGGAACCCTTTTCAGTGCTCGCTGACAAGCAGCGAGTCCGCCAAGTGCCTGACTAACTGCTGTGAAGTCGAAGAGCCGAACGTAGTCACAGCGGCAGCCTGGCGCCGGCTGGGTAAAAGCCTCAAGAGTACGTCGGCGAGCTTGGAAGGGCTAGCTGTTGCCTGAGTGTCTGGGGAATGGACAGCATGGGATACGGTCCAATCCAAGGTACCCGATCCAACCGGCACGTCATCCTAAAGTCCTTCATCTGCGATCGAGGCCGGTTCTCTTTCAGCGTCTCCTACGGCTCGCCTTAACCCATTCCATTCGTCTTTTGCCCCTTTACCTTCCCTTCTGTCCGCTTGGGGCGAAGGCGGCCCTGTGGCGCCAGTGAGTGACTGAAATTTCCGGAGGGACCACCACCATATGTCAAGCCAGGTCAGTGGCGCCATCTACCTTGCCCTCTGAAAAGCTTTCAGCTGAAGCGACTTCAATGGCGTCAACCACGACGGCCACGCCGCTGATAGCTCTGGAAGAAGGCTGGCTTGTTGAGGATCCTATGTGTTCAGCAAGAACGGCGGGAAAGCTAGCTGTAGCGGTAAAACCGTGCAGCAGGCGGGTAGTGGGCGCCGCCGATAGCAGCAGCAGCGGGCTGCGACCACATGGCGCCAACATAATCAAACCAGACAGACGCTTATAGCTCCATATGGAGCAGAGAGGAGAGAATGAACGAATCAACTTGTATGGAACGGGTAGGCTCGCCTGAGAGTGTGGCTCACCAAGTTGAGCGCTTGCAAGAAGGTTGAGTCCCGTTAGTAGAGGCTCACGCACATGATTTTGCGCGTGGCTTTTGCACACCACTGCAGCTTGTTAGCCGCCTTACTGGCGTGGGCAACTGCAAACGAAGCTATCGCCCGAACGCCCTCCCATCCTATAGGCAGGCTCCGACACCCCCATACATGCAGCCTCGAGTTTGGTCCACCCATGAACCGCAAAGAAGTCCCCACTCAGCGACGACTGCGGCATGTGGCTGTCTAAAATGAGCGTGCAGCATGATTAACATAGTCCAAGACGCGGTCATCTGAGGTTAGCCCGTTCACGCACAGAGAAACAGAGGGAGGAAGAGAGGCGGTTTTGTCATATGCTAGACCGTGTAGAACAGTGAGACCTGACAGAGAACGCATGCAACTAGTAATGATGTATACATATGGATACCGGGTGCTCCAAACAATTGTAAACACTGTTTAACTGACCATAAGTTTGTGACTCTTATCTCTTTTCATAGTCAAGCCACAATTAATTAAATAACTCTAAAATAGACGGAACTGTTCAGGATGTTTGTAGGCAAGGCTGCGGAAGACCAAGAACATCGGAGAGTCTTGCCATACTGAAAAGCTATAACGGAACATCCCCAAGATCTATAAGACAATTAAGTCGTGAGCTTGCCATGAAAAGACCGAATGTCGATTGTGTGAATGTAGTACATTATAATGAAAAACTTGCATCTTGGCGATGGTACAGTCTAATGATGAAATTGACTTGAATTTAGGAAAAAAAATTTGCAAGTGATACGCGGAAAATGCACAATTTTCAAGAAAGATTGTTTGCAGGAAAATTTTTAATCGATATATACACGTTACGCAGAAACGCCATGTAGATTTATTAGGAATTATAGTGTAAATGGATGAAGCATTACTGAGTAAGAGGTGTCAATTACTTCAATTACGCATTCAAATCGACGAAGATGACTTCAAATGCAAAGGCATTCAAAATGACGGATTTGATTTCCAATAAAATGAACCACCTGCACGCGATCATCGCGATATAAGAATATCCTCTGATAAGACTCTTATCGGAATTTTAAATAGGTTAAAAAATGTTGCCCTGATGCCAGTGAGCTTCCCTCATGGAGAGAACGTACGATTCATAGAGGAAGCCAACAACACTTACGTAATTGAACCAAAATGAAAGAATTGTTAACGTTTGTGCATCAATAGTCCACTGGAACCAGCAACATGTTGACCCAAACAGTAAAAAATATTGATTATTCATGCTAAGCAAAAGAGTTATATTTTTTATACAAATTCTCTCCCTGCATTGATTCTACAAATCAAGTATCAGTCAATTGTAGTAAGTTACAACCGTTCGAGCTGTGCATAGACTTTTCTCAAGACATCCAGTACGTATACGCTCTGTTTTTCTTTGTGCTAAACTATAATCTCGCGCGTATTATTAATGTTCTATTCTGCTGGCGCTAAGATTAAGTTATGCCATACCACCACGTAAGTGTAATATAGACGCTTTGATATTAATAGCAACCTAAATATCGAATACTGAGGTGTCAATAGACTAGTACATTAGCGTAAAGATGACCTATAAAAAAACCGTCGATCTATATATATATATATATATATAGTATCCTATTTAGATTTGTATGATTAAATTAATATATACAAAATAATAGGTTAAAAAAACATGATTAATGAAGATTTCCCTGCTGTGGTCGATTTACCCAATGCAGAGGGAATTTCCCTGCCACTTTTATTATTACCATCATAAAGAACTTGCCTAGGCAAGGCTGAATTTACGTCTAAGCGGAATCTAATCTATCACAGACAAAGTATTGTGAGACACCTAGTATTCCTGTACCTTCTAATATAGATATCATCTAAATCACTTCATTCATTTAAGTACGAAGAAAACAATATGTAATATTAATGAGTTGCGCTCAATTCTATATGCATTGGTCTACTTTTTATTTTTTTTAACAAATAGAAATTATCATCAAGTTTGTTACGACAACCCAATCGACCTATTCCAATTTTGGTATAGAACCGTAACTATATATGAAGTCAATTTCAACCAGAACATAACAACTATTTAGAGCCTGATGCCTACGAATAAGGTACCCTCTTCTATTCGATATCCATGAAAGGCCCCTAAATTTATTAAGGTCCAACTACATCTCAATTTTGAAACTGCAATTCATTGAAAGGCGATTCTACGTTGAAAAAAATATGTAAGAAATATCAGCCATGATGTGCAAAATTGCCAGTGGTAGTGAACCCACATTTCTGTGGGTGTGCCAGCACTCTCATTGTTCCAATGAAATAAACATCTGAAGATGCATTAATTTCCATAGGCAATAGATATATATATAGGTCTTCCTCGGAAAACGTCCATACGTGTATGGAGGTCACGGTCACTCATGCCACGCGCTGTAGAGCAATAGCGCACTCCACGCTACATATAGAAAAAAGCTGCCCTTCGGAAGAAGTTTCGGTTCACTGTCGGTTACCTTTGGGGCTACCCTCTCAACAGCGTGTCATTCCTGAACTTTCTTACCTATTTTTTTCTCTCACAAAGGAAGAGCTTTATACACTTCCAGACCGATACTATTTTACGCTTAGTGCAATGGTCTGCACTGCCACGTGGATCAGCTCAAAGAGCCCGTTTTCTCGCTCCCACGCAAAACCCGCCCCCTGAAGTAACAGATGAGAACGTGAATTCTCCCCTGAGAGAACTAGAAGGGGCGGTGATTCTTTTGCCATTTTTCTTTGGCTTTAGGAGATCTTCCAAAGCTTAGAGCTTGCTATGGGGACACTCTCGGCAATGTGGTCGCACCTTTAGGCTCCTGATCCGAAAGCTAACACTCATCCTGGATCTTACGTCCTAAGTAATGGGTCGTTTAAAGAAAGCTTCATACATGTAGTCGTGTTACCTTAATTTGTCGTAGACGTCGGGGATTCCTCCGTATTGTCAGAAAAGTCCACAAGCCTTTACGCACAGCTATGTCAAATTGAAGCTACTCAAGCTTCACTGGACCACTATTATCTATCTTATCGGATACGAGATGTACCTTTTTACAAAATATGTTGTAACTATTCTTCGATATTCGTCAATACAAAGCCTTGTAAGGAGGAAAGCCACTCGTTAATTCGAAAGAAAAATGTTTTCGCTGTAATCCCCCTACAGGTGACAAATACGAGCAAAATCAGCTCTTCAATAGGACCCGATAGAGACACACTAGACCTTGTCGATTGTCCAGTTTTGAGTTTGAAACGAGACTTGGGAAAAATGTAATGCGCTGTGTTGTCCAATGTATTTCGGCAAACACGATATAATTCACGCACTTGAATAACTCAATAGTACATATAATATATATATAAAACACAAATAAAACACATAAACTAGCACTATTGATTTGAACCTGTCAAAAAGACTGGCTGAGGTCTAGTATTAGTTCCTTATCGTTTATTCATTTCTGTTTTATTTTTTTTTGAAAATAGCTAAATGCAGAGACAGTGACTTACAGAAATATCGATAGTGTCAGTCTACTAAATGCTCTAACGTCTCCTCTTATAGCTCTATCGCGCATAAATGTATTATGGAATAGATTTTCTTCTGCAGTAAAACCTCGTTGATAGCTGCTGCAAGGCCGTCTCGAATGTTTGTATCAAACTACTACCGATTACTGTAAACGTTTGGGTGTTTATAGTCAAAACTGGTAAAAATAACTTGATTAAGTTCTGTAGTATAATTTAGTTTAATTTAACAATCAGAAATAACTTCTCATTGATGCCAGTAGATAATTAATCAATGTTTATTACGTAATATAATTTGACATATATTTAAATGCTTGGCTATGTAGAGAAAGCGTTAAGGCGACTTTACTCTTATCAAAGGTCCCTAAATCTATCTAAAAATAGATAGCCCTGTATTGAAAAATAGCTTTTATCAAATGATGATTTCAGAACATTGAGTTCTAGCTATGGACCGAAGTCGTAGCTTCATGGTCCAAAGTAGTTCCAGTCGTTACTATTGATAAATATATTGCGGTCATCTTGTTACTACTTCAAAATCGGAGAAGGAACATGCGTTCTCAGCACTGAAATATATTCTTCCGATAAAGATAAGACAAAATGATTATTTAGGTAGTTTCTTTTCGAACAGTAACGCTTGGACGAAGTACTATCATAATTCTGGCCCGACAGTATAGTTGTTATCTTCAATATTTTTTATTAAATTTGTTTATGCTTCGATACGGTTTCGCCCCAGAAAAGATGAAATATACAACTCTATTTTCAATCTAGTCAGTCATATATTTTAAATCAATTATTATTACAAACGTCGAACACTCATAATTTCAACGAGTGCTCTCGAATCACGCACCCTTAAAAAGGCAGTGCGGTGTTTGCATTTATTCACTTTCTGCAATTGACATCCCGTCCACGGCGACTCCAACTCCAGGAAACGGCGTGTCCTGTCGGCGCGATCTGCGTCGGGGTTCCTTGTACGCGAATCTCCTCAGTCACCGCCTCCGGCCATTGCCATCCATGGGTTGTTAATAGCGGGACCGCCTGGAACTCTCCACGCACCTCCTGTGTTTCCCAAACCCATCGCCCGTCCTCGCGAACCCATCGGCCACCCTGCGAAGAACCGGCGCCGGCGCCAAGGACCAGCCCTGAATCAGAAGTATCGTTACCATAAAACGTCACCTAACCCATATCGGCCCATTGGCAAATCAGTTTTCTCTCACTTACCTGCACCCTTCGTGACCGCCGGTACCGAAGTCCAACTGGCAGACGCAGGAGCAGGCGCCTGCCACACTCGACCACCGCCACCGTACGTGATCGCAACCGGGATTGGTTGCGGAGCTGCAGGCGCAATCCATGCGGCCGAGTAACCACTGCTGCTCTGTTGAGGTACGGCAGCCACTTTGATCGGAGCGGATGGTCCCTGCCAGCTTCCGGAATACGTCGCCGGTGAGGCGTGGCTAATAATTGGGGTCTTCCAACCTCCGCCTCCAGCGCTGGGGGCGGGCGCGGCGTAACCGACAGGCGTATTAATGCGGGTTATTGAAGTGGCAGTTTGCCAATCGCTTGGACCCCCACTGGCGACCGCCGAAGGAACCTCTGGATTAATCCAGCTGGTGCCAGAACGGTCATTCAATATGACTGGAGTTTGCTGTGTGCCCTGTTTCCACGAAAAGGAAGGGCCATCTGTCCACCCGGAACCTCCAGCCTGCCATCCACTACTCGTGGCTAGCACGTACGCGGCAAACATTAATAGCGTCCCAATTTTCTGAAAGTGAACCCATAAAGCCTGTAAAACCCATAAAGCGGTGCTGCTGTCAAGCCTTGTTTTGGTCATCATTGTTATTAATAATCTCTATTATTACTATTTTTGCTTTTAATTCTTCGATGTACTATTTTGTTCAGCGTTTCCGGTTTCTTATACCAGTGAACATCGGTGAAGGAACATAAAGACCGCAATACAGGGGCCTGAACGACGAATCAGAAACCCATTAGCGCTGTGGAGTGCGTTTTTTACGCTTCTTCGCTTCGCGTTTACCGTACTTCATATGTCAATCGGTAGTCTTCGTTGCCTCAGTGCTCCCTTTCCCTGAGCGGCTTTTTTTTTTTTTATTTTTTATTTCTCGAACACCAAAATAGACTTACGCCAAAGAGGAGAAGTATCGCTGGTATCAATTGCGAATGTTCTTCTATCGAACAGAATAGAAACAATGTCCAACATGAAACATTCCATTTAGCGCTGTATCATTCAAAACTTGGCCAACGCTTCCCGTTCTACAATAACAAGTGACCTATAACATCAACATAGTACAACAGCTATTTCACAAAATTGCGGTGGGATAAACAATAACGAATCAAACGACAAACAACAAACACGGTGCCACTATATAACTTTGAATTCAACTCACCACAAACAGCCTCATGGTTATGCTGAAGCTCGTTCTTCAAATACAACCGACTCTCCGGAAAGCTTTTATATTCAAAAGGCGGCAAGAACGAGACCATAGCGAAAAATAAATTGGGCGAGGGTTCGAGATTGTGCCAGAAGAAATATATCTGAAAACAAAGTGAAAGAAGTTAGTCTAGTGAGTGCAAGGGCCGGTAAACGGATGTATGTTGCACTAGTCATAGGAAAGATCATGATCATTAAGCCATAATAGACAAAATCACGGCCGTCCCTCGAAGCAACGGCGAGGACGCAAACAAAAACGAGGCAACTGACTGCTCCTACTAAGCGCTAGATATTCGCTAGACGGCTGTTGGACGCGCGCTTTCATCCACGAATGAAAGAGCAGATCGTAATACTTTTTCGTGCATCGCCGTAGATCGAAGAGACAACACACAGACTAAAATTCGACACCGGGGCCATTTGGTTCACTATTTGGTCGTCCCTTTTATGCAACTCTAATCCACTTTCGTTGTGCCGCATCGTAGAATTTTCGCGAGATAGATGTCAGTTGGGCACGGACGATATTTCGGCCACCGCTCGCTCAAGTAGTGGACGGCTTCTTCGTTTACAGGTAGCACTTCCAATGGCATGTTTTCAAGGCAGGCACGGTCTTCTGGACAGTCCCACTGTTGCCATGAGCTTGCCGGATGGATGGTGCAATAACTAACGTTCAATGAGCGGTAGCTGAAAGCCGTTTAGTGTTCGACGCGATGAGAACGGATGACCGAGCAAATGGCTGATTTAACATGTTTATAAGGCCAGTAATACCACTATGCATGTATTTCATTAAGGGAACAGACTGTGCTTTGTGCTCGCTCTAGTGATTGATTAGTAGGCAAGGCTAAAACCAAACTTTTGCTGATTTTAAAGCTGCTCACAGCCTTAAGCGTAAGACCATCGGTACGGGCGCGATAACAATTACTAAGGCATTAATGGTCACAGCCAGAAAATAAAAGGGCGATATATATATATATACATAAATCGTATATCAAGATTGTATCATGTGTGTACATTAAAGCGCTACTTCTGGGGCTCGATTTATTTCAAAAACACAATGAAAAATCCAAAGCTCTACCCGTTTGACCTCTGTTTGTACATGTCACATGTTTATGGCACGATTCAACTACTGAAAATTTTCTTACTTCCATTTTCAGTCATAGACACAGATACTGTTGCATGTAAGAACGCTAAAAAATACCTACGACATAACAAATTGTCCATTGGCCGTTCCTCTAGAAAACCCCGTCAACTGGCTGCCGTGAAAACAAATTAATCACGGGTAAGAGTTTTGCAAGTTACCAAACTTCTCAACTTATGACTTTGAGATATTCACGATACTCGATATGAGCACCTTATTGCTATTTTAGAGGTTTGCAAAATTCTATAAAAGCACATAATGGTAAAGAAAAAATGACATGCATCGACGACAGAAGAAATATCCCCCCTAAAATTATTGACCACAAGTTAAGCTGGCTTATATGTAGCATTAGGTGGAATGAAAGCCAATATCACCCGAATAATATCAGGTTGTCGAACAACTCGATTGATTTTGCTTGAAACTTGCAGTATTTCCTCATATGACCGTTTTTAGGGTTTCGTTAGTAAAAACGCTGATTCGTAGAATAATTGTAATAAAATTTAATTTTCCAGAAAACACACCACAGACCCAGTTGTTCCATTTGAACGAGTCTTTTCCCTTTCACCCGATCCCGTATATTCTCTCGTGGGTTTGTTTCATTAGGAAGTATTCTGCTGTTATTCCTATGAATTCCTAAGTACTCGTAACCTTCAGAGGAGCTAAACTTTTCAAATAACTGAAAAGTGTCAACTAATTGCAAGTTCCCTGGCGTGACCAGTCTTGCCTAGTCCCGACTATAGGATCGTACGGAAAACCTAATAAATATTAGCGTAACTGGTGAATATTGGCCTCATCTAGCGCACATGAATCTTTCGATTCGCTATTTACTGGACGCAACCAGGCTCAAGCGGTTGTCTCCTCCCGATATGATATACGTATGTGTATGTGACATCGCATACGCAACACGCGTTAAGTTAGGGTCCATTACGTTCCCATATTACAGCAACATATATTATGGACTTTTTCAAAACTCTAAAGATGGAAACCTAGACAGCCAAATGCTACAACTGAACAGATAACCCTCATTCATTAATTCGTCATTGAGGATTAAGGGGAGCTTCAGCTATTTTTGCAATGGCAGCACGAGGACACCGTCCTTTTCACAATGTTAGTTTCTATACGAAGGACATTTATTAACGATTAAGATTTTAAAATATACTGCTTCTTGAGCCAGTAACTATACACATCATAGACATGGTTAGTATGCGATATAAACGCAAACGTGTCCCTTGAGCAGAACATCTTGCAGCATAGGCCACCTTTCAGAACAGCTCCCTTGTGGATCAATGTAACCTACTATATCGCGGACCGAAGAACGAACTCGTCCCAAATAAGAGAGGCAAAATTCAGATGAGCCGAGACACGACCTTATTTTGAGTAGACAGGCGCACATCAGTCACTGCTAACTTCACGAAAGCATCACAAGAACTCGCTTCTTCGACCTTTCCGCAACAAACTCTGTGTGTTAGCATTAACGAACAATTGAATACAAACGAATAAATTTGTTAGTAGATTTACTCTGTGGTAGCAACTTGCAGATAAAGTTCTTTTTACAGACATATGTATTAGTGACACAGGTGTCAGTGCTCTACATCGAATGATTATGCCTGTTACCTGGCAATTCAATTTAAAATAAAAATGTTATCCGAAGTTTAAATTAGATAAATTGAATTGTTGCCGTAGCAATGAATACGTAATGTGGAACTCATCGTTATGGGGTTTCGGATTTAGACCTCGATGAAAGCCGTCATTTTTGTTTTCTAATAAATTGTCCCCATTTCAGCTGACTGTGCATTTACATTTCACTACCATCTGTGCCATTCCGTACTTGCGATACATTCGAAGTACGTCTTCACTGCGTCGCCTATGGAAGCGTATCTTAGCGATGAGCGGTTCTAGCGCTTAAAAACCTCAACGAGAAAAGAGACAGCTGAAGAGAACGACCTTCCTTATTATTTTCTACACGAAATTATTAATGAGCGACTCTTTAAATGTTATTAATAATAATGTTGATTCGCCATTTTGAAACGAGTGGTGTAGTACCATCTTGGTACCGAATAAGCTCACTTAACTTTGTAATTTCATCGAAGAGTTTTTTGTTTTTATTTCAAACTTCAATGAATCATTCTAACGCAGTGTCTAGTGGCAGTACGATACGTAAAACTTGAAGCATTTATTTAAAATGATTAAATATTCTTATTGATTGAACTGAAACTATTCATACTTAAAAAGTCTATCGTTACGGCTTCGGTTTTGTGTAATAATGTCTAGTTTATTTGGGCAGTACGATGAAACTACCGTCTACAAAAAAGTTTTTATTCCCTGTAGATGCAGGAAATAACGCTTTGAGAAGAACATATTCATTAGTTGTAGTCAGAGTTAGTATTACAGTCAGATGAAGGCAAGCGATCTACAATCAAACGACATTGTGATTTAGAAACACTCAACTGTAAACAGTTACTGTTACTTCAAATCGGTGACGGGCAAAAGGTTGGACTTCAATTCACATTGGTCCTTCGTAACTTTATTGGTGCCAATCTTCTACTGCGAAAAGGCCGGGGTAACGTTAACGTCGCTACCGACCGCCGACGCATATTGTAAACCTACTAAAAATCCTTTACGGAAAATGAATTACTTTTTATTCCTGCGTGTCTCTGGCGTCTGTCGATAGCTAATGACATATGAATAAAAAGCCCTCACGGTTTACCTGTGCGATACTCCCACGCACAATACCGTTCCGCAGTTTCTATTTGAGGGAGTCAAGTACAATGGATGTAGTCTACAGCTATAACGGTTTTCTACGAAAAGCGTGCATATATATTTCCTAGGAAACATTAGATTGTCATAAGCGAATCTTGCGGGCTTTAAGATTGAATTATTTCTAAGCTAGTTGGGCTAGAACGATAATTTTAAATATGTATTAGAAATACCCTCGTTCATTTTTTACACATTTGTCCCAGCGCTGTGGCTTCTTGCAAACAGCCATATACCTATCATTAGCGTTCCCATATGTCATTTCTCTATCTATGGCTTCTTGAAATACGGCATATGATTGCCTACAAGTCGCCCTTTTTAAGGCATAGAAAGCCTCGAAGCCACACGGACCTACATCGAGAAAATAAGTATGTTCAAGCGGTCATTGAATATTCGTTTGCTCAATTGAGGCATTGTCATAAGGTAACTAAACCGCGTGTTTTCAATTGCTATACTAAAGATCCATAAGCATCTTGAATAACTCGAAATAGACGGGATATTTTGTTCCTCTTTTGGCGACTGTATAATAGTAGTGAATGCTTTTGACGTCTACTGCAAGCATAACCGTCGTCTTACGTTCAGACATACTTGACACTTTATCATCGGTGTCAAGTATGTTTGAATGTAACGTACTTTTTATTATACAATAAAAAGTATATTACGTTTTTATAACGTAACACACTTCAGGGCGACATTATTCTCACCTTGTTTTTCTTCGACTGGCGGTAAGAACTGAACCATGCCTCGTCTATGGCCACCGTTTGCTCCAGGCCCGTTCTTGATTGATTCAAGTTCTCTAATTCGCCGGTACAATACATCACACGAATCTCCAACAGAACTGGAATCAAAGTCATAGGGAATTCGTTTTTATTCTCTTCAGGCGTTCTCAATACTTGGGTTATAATTCTGCAGGACGTTGCATGGCGAATTCGAGTTCTGGCCAATAGAATCCTTAGACTTTAAGCTTTGTTTTTATGAATACCCCTTCAAATCCAGGCATGAGTTCTTAACCCTGAGATTCCGACATCTGGTCATCTTCAATGTTCCAATCTCCGATCTTGAAACATTTGCACCTTGCCCAGTGTCTTTACCAAGCCTCAATGAACGTCCGCAGCGCTGTACCCTTCGAGGAACAAAAAAAGTTAACCACTGAGCGTTGATTTTCGAAACAAAAAGATGTATTTTTTCCTGAACTCGTTATTGACGAAATAAACTTAACCAATTTTCACTTACAAGTTTCTAAAAAACTGGAGTATCTATCCTAGTAGCGTATAGTTAAAAAAAATTATTAGACTTCAGGGTACGCCAAATTTGCTTGTAACAGCTTAATATGGTATTCTCAGGCTGGTAGATACTATTATAAATATCGAATTCTTATGTATATATAGACAGATGGGTGTTCTGGCTAAAACAATCTGACGGATCATCGACTAGCTATTCAGGCACTGCATGCTTTTAGCGGTACGATGTTAACTCTGAATATAGTACAGATCAATCGTGGTCAACACGCTAGAAGTAGGCACGCAATAAGTGACAATTACTCTGGTGGTCAAGTGACACTCAGGGATTCTCCAAAATGGACTAATTAATACAATTTTTTGCTACATAACATGACGCATGTACAGCGTTATACATAATACACGGATAGTGAGAAATTCTATCGTGGATTAATAGTCTGTCAGAGGTTTATCGGCTTTCCACCATGCCAATGAAGAGGGTAAGTTATGATGATTTCGATTGGTGACCTATCCTACGCCGGTAAATAGAATTAAGCATTACGTATATGTTTAGCTAAAACGAGAGTTATAAGCAGTGGTGACTGTATCGGACCGGATCATTACATCAACGATGTACTGTGACATCCTATTTTCATTGGCTACATATGGACCACTGGAGACCTCAAGACAACCTGGCATTGGCCAAACATTTTATCTTGATCCTCCGGTAATATTTAGGTTTATTCGACTTTTGTACTGATCCAACTCTTCTCTATTGAACGTGGTCACACACTATCACTTGCTTATCGTCATTTTCGATAACCTTAACGATTTCTTTTCCGGTATCTCGTCATAGGTTTTTTTTATATATATATATATATATATATATATTTATTTATTTTTTTCTAAACGAGCTCACAACAACGATCTAGAGAAGGATGAAGCAATTCCGATTCTTGAGTAGCAAATTGGTCACGATTTTTCGTATGGCCTGGATAGTTGATGCTGGCTCCTGTATCCATAGCTGACGTGAGTACCCTTAAATTAATGTAGTTAGTGGTATTATTGACCATGAGGAGCTTCATCGAATCTCCCTCTGTGTACAGCAATCGGGGTGTACAAAGACATATCTAAAGCGCAGCACTTGCCTAAAATAGTCAGATGGCCTTGCAATTTGTTTGCAAAAAAGCGTGTTTGACCAAGTCTAAAGGTCCTGTGGCGCATCAGCTCCGCCAATGCTGCCGATCCGCTGTCGGCGTTCCTGCCTATCTTCAGAAGCAGATTTGGCGAAAGATTTCATACCGATTGACCAGCCGTCTGAACTGAATTACTTCAACAGTGCTATTTGCGGTGGCCACCTCCGCCTCGAACTATAACGATGATCTGATAATTGTCTATGGTTTTATGTAGATATAGACGCCGTAGTAATTGAATATCGGGTTATTTGGCGTGCGTCTTTCCAGCAACATTCACCGAACTAGGATTAATGTAGTCGCTCTCATGACAGAGTCGCTCTCAAGGCCGGAAGCAGGCGCGGCGTCTAGTTAATTAGGGGCAAACAATGTTTATGGTAGATTCGTGACAACACTTGGTAACCGTTACAAACATTACCGATCGAAGAAGTTAAGATTTTTATAGACGTCCTTTATCTCCGCTCATAAGCCTCTTGAGTACGTGATCGTTTTTGGATACTGCTTGCGTCTTGGACTAGATTTACGTAAATAAAATGTGTTGTATTAAATCAAACCTTTCTACCTATACAACTAGAATTTTAAGAATTATGGAGCTAAGGATAGATATATAGATGATATTTAGTAAGTAGTTCGTTTTTAGGAAATAAATTGGCCTTGACTTGGCCAGAAAACCCTAAGTATAACTAATAAATGACAATGTAATGATTTATATACTATTGTAACATTAAAAAAGTAGATAGGAATAGTAGTTAGTAGAAACTGTTGGTAGAAACAGTAACGGTAGATTAGTGTTATTATTATTAGCGCCTGCTAATCTTAGGGACACGCTGTTGTTCGAACCCATAGGGCATAGACACACGCCTTGTTTCGTGCTCAGAGCCAGCTAGCCGTCATGTTATGGAATGCCTAACAGCGATACCGGACGGAAACACAGAGGCTATTATTAACTTCAGTTTTGAACAAACCGACTATTCTGAAAAGGGGTTGCCCTTCTCAGTAGTAACTAGTGTGTACTCGTCAGCAGGTTTTTTTCGCAGCGGATTTTCGTTGTTTAAATATCAACTACACTAAGTGAAAAGTAACGGGCCTCATCACTTCACAGTCGGCTGCATCACTCTCCTGTCATAACAACAATTCGGCAGGATAAATTGTTTAGTAACAAGCCTACGCATCTTCCCAGAGAAGCAGTCATCCGTTTTCTGAGATACAGATAGCCGAGGGCAGAAACTGGACAAAATTGTAGCATATATTCGTTGCATATTAATGCTACTTTCACGTTTACTAACTCACCTGAACCTGTGGATGTTGCACTGATAGGGGCTAAGAATGTCATATTCGCCTTTTGACCGAACGGACTAGGCCTTCCAAAGGTTGACGGACATCGCTCAAGTATCCCTAGCAAATATGATCGTCGCTAAGACTGTCTCCAGACTCCGACATAACAGGATTAATTGGAAGCGAGTAAAGCCAAATCTAGATTTCATGGATTCATCTAATACCCACGTAAGACCTGTTGTCCCACGGCAGCATCTTAAGTATTTATTTGGATTCAGAAATGGCTTTTTTAATCGTTCTGTAGTTGTTGCCGCCGGCATAATATTATATAGCCCAGCGATAGCCGGCTTCCGCGTCCGTAACCTTAACACGCTTCCCAAAAGCAGTGAACACGCAGAGTGGATGTTCCAGTGTTGGAACGTTGAACGTTTATGAAAAAATCTTGGCCGTAACTTTAAGTTACATTCGCACATGCCCTACGCTTTTATTCAGCAATGACGGCCATGTTACTTTTTGATTGATCCTGGTTTTTCGTTAGAATTAGCTATTCATATAGAATTTCCGATACTACCGATATTCCGAAAGATACACCAAAATATTATTAGCTTACTCACTAAATAATAGTTAGTAAGTAAGTAAGGCTTAAGCCCGTAAAAGTTCAGTTACATGATTGTGACGAAATGCAGGAAGCTTCAAATACTACTAACACTTAAACCATACGAAATGTGTTAAAATTTGAAAGCATAGACTATTTATCGAACCATTGTCGATGTGCGCTTGCCAGCTGAGTGCTAAACATTATTATTCCATCATTACTAAGCATCAAATACCGGGTGCCATTTGCAGCAAAGTTATTGAGCCCCTTCGGATGTTTCATGTTAACGTACGTCACGAGCCATAAGCAGACACCTCATAGCGTAGCACTTAATGGCCAATCACTGGAGAGGGTATCCTCCGTATTTTTTTAAATTTTGCCTAATTAACCGGGATTTTTCACGTTGTAGCGCACCGTTTAACAAATGAATAAGAGACGTCGATGATAGCACGGATAGTGGAACTCCTGTTGATCTTCTTTTTTGTGTGACAACTGTATGTGGACGGCGTGTAGCGGTAAGTTTGTATTTTTGATTAAGCGTTAAATAGCTGGTCTGTTGGATAAGTTAATTGACTAAGGTTCTGGATGGTATACAGTTCACTTCTACGAAGAAACATTGTCCGTGACCTTACAAAAGGAAGGGCCACCGAGTATCAGAGAGACTAGTAGTCCCCCTGTTTTTGTTTACTCCCTTGTTGTCTGTAACTTTGGTTTAGTAAAGTTACAGACGACAACAAGTGAAATTCTGCCACATGTATCTACAGTCACAATTACGCATGTTGAACACTTATTGCAAACTTACATGACAAGCTACTCCCTGGCTTGGGAAAAAATTCAGCTTTACTTTTGTATACGATAAAATATCGCTCGATAGTGTACGCTTCGGATGTAGTAAGCTGTGCGTATAATAAAGCAACCGTATTGGTTTGACAGGTGCAATTTCTATGTTTCTGCCTAAATTCTTTAGAAAACGTTGGTTTTTATAGATGGACCACATAGAAATAACGTTCTGTGACAATCGTGCTGCTCAGCTTGAAGGTTGTTTGTTATTTGTGTAGCATTCGCGTACAAGGCCGGTCCTACAAGATAGACAAAATCGTTTTACGTAAGCATTACATACACTGAGTGTTTGAAAAATCACATAACTCGTGAATCAAAAATCAACTGACGCTTTCTTTCTATTTATTACATATTCTCTAGCTAAATGCATAACAAGCTGTCGCACCATTTTTAATCCTTTTAAAAAAGTTCAGGACTCTAAAAAATTAAGTTTTATATTTCATGAACCTGCCCCCGTAATCTCAGCTAAATTTGACGGACCTACTTTGTTTTCATTTGTCGTTCCTTCGAAGTAAAGAAATGTTCCTATCCGAACATGTATTGACAAATGTAATTCTAAAAGGAACGAAACCAACCATCGAATCTTGTTTGGCTTCCCGTAGCTTTGCCTAATTCCCAAAAGATCCTGCACTACATATTTTGATTTGAATAATTATCGATAGGAAAACTGTTATCATACCCAAGCATATATATACGTAATATTACGGAACAGTCTTGCACATATTTAGTCTAATAGCCTGAATATGCTTCAAGCTAGATAACGGCGTAAGCAGCATCGTCAAAGTCAGCGTGGCCAGCATCTAGCTACCAAAAGCGAAATGAAAAGAGCTTTAAAATGTGTTTGGACAGGTAAACATGTGCGCCTAGTGATTTACATGTTTGTTAGCTATACCAAATCATGAGCGGACCCGTTACCTGTCGTCACTGTGTTTACTCTTGTACCCCTTTACATGTCCTAGCTGTTTCTGAGTGCTTAG